TTGCTTCAAGTCAACAAACTATTAATAGAGGTATAAAGAAAGTCACATATAAGTTATTTATTAAAACCTCTCCAACAATTGGATAAAATTTTCACCATTATAGAAAAATATTCCGGTAAATACACACTCATGACAAGAAAAAGATTTGTAATATTATGCAGTATTTATATTTATTTAATGCATAATAAGAAACAGAAAAGGTATCATTCAAAAACTGTTCAAATAGTTGTAGATAAATAGAAACCAAGGATTTTATACAAGTCCTTGTGTATAAACAAGTATTTGACACTTCACATTGGGTTAGGTTAAATACGTAAAAATAAACAAAACACAAACGCAAACACATTTGTAATGTTGAAAAGAAACAGCAATAGTCAATACATGTGATAGAAGAAGAGAGCAAATCATTTCGGCTAGCCAAGACTCCTCGATATTATATCGATTCGAATGGGCGGGGTTTCGATATTAATTCGATGGCAAAATTTTCAAGAGTACCGATATATCGATATTATTTCGATCTCGATTCGGAATCATCGAATCGACATTTCGGGAGTCCCTGCACTGCTTAAAAATGCGCGCGATCCGATTGCCTTCCACACTCCACTTCACCGGATTTTGCATTCACTGGTACCCGTGCATTGGAATTAGATATGGCCAGTCTAGGTGGTCTGTGACTAAACTCATTATAAAATAAAATTGGTTATTTGCTTACTTCACTCGTATTTATTACGCTAATATCATTTTGGGACACATGGAACAATAGCGCCACCCCAACTTTTGCTATTTCTTGGTTGGACATATTTTGTCAATTTTCCCGAATGAATTCGTGCTCCTTGTCTGTCTCCCAGGCGAAAAGTATGGCTGAGGGTGCGAGAGAGACAGACCGTATCTTGCACAGAAGATTGGAACGTAAAAAGCTAATCTGGGGGCTTTCGTTTTGGCAAAAATAGTACCTATTAGCAACTAGTATCAGTTTAGAGTAACTCTAACTTGCTACTAATAGCTACTATGTTTACTAAATCGAAAGGCCTTCTGAAGTGTTCTGAAAGTGCTTTTGAAGTATATTTTTTGTCAATTGAAAAGCAGCTAAACCAAAAGAATAACAAGGACAAAAACAATAATCGACGCATTCGCAGCAAACATGGAAATTTAAATTAAATTCAATGGTTGTAAATAAAAAATAAACTACATATAAATTATTACTTTATTTTAAATAAGAGAAAAACGAGTAGTTCAAATTTTTTAAACAAAAAAAAGAGTATTATTTCCAAATAAAAAGATATTTTCGTGCGAGAAAAAAAAATAAAGCCTGAGAGAAACTGAAAACGCTGAAAACCGTATTCAACGCCATTTCTCCCGACAGTTCTCAGCCAGGACATGAGGAGGTTCCACGAAGCGCCTACACTGGCTACGCTTGTGTCCCAGTCCCTGGGATAAAGTACTTAAATTTTTAAAACGAAAACTGGTATAATAAATTTAAGCAACTAACAACTTTTGTTCAATACATATTTAATAGTTCTTTCCGATGTTATACAGGGTGGTCCTAGATTGTCTCGATATTTTCGGGATAGAACTATCTATCCTATACTAACATCAAAACATTATTGTACCTTTTCACATAAACCTTTTCCTAAAAATATATATCAAAAAGGGATCTCCATTAAGTTCATCCATACATTTCCTATATCTTTTTCATTTTCTAAACTTATATTTAGGGTATACTAATATAAACATATGTGGGATTTGCACAAGTAATGTAATACAACATATGACATCTAATGTCCCCTTTTAAGGCAACTAAAATATAAGTATACCCGTCTTTATTTGTATCTGAAAAAATTATATACAAAAAGGAACCCTTTTATTTAAAACCACGCAGAATATTAAAAATGCCATTACAAATAGTAAATATCTCACATTTTAAATCTGATTCACCTTAGTTTCTCCAATATGAAATAAATAAACAACTCGAGTAAATTTAAAAAGTATTTATGTCCATTAAATTACTATTCTAGGTATTCTAGAACTGAGCTTCATTGGCAGGTTTAACAAAAACTTTTTTTTTAAACCTATGTTTTGGTTTTGACTGTTTCGAAGCAAATTTCTTTCCAATAGTCTCTACCACAGATGAATATCCTTGAGCCATCTCTACATCAGTAATATCTTTTTCTTTAAGTTTTTCTTGGGCTTCTAACAATTGAACATAATCATTAGCCATTAGTTTTTCAGTTTCAGGATTCATTCCACCAAAAGAAAGTCTACCATCAATTAAATTTTTACAATTAGTTATACTAGTTTCAATGAATACCAAGTTTCCACTACGTCTCATTTCTTCTGTAATTTCATTTGAATACATAGCTTGCCCTTCAGCATCTTCTATTTCTTTTTGGACTTTTTCTTTCGTTTTTTTCATAAATTTCATTTCTAATATCGCCTTAGAGAGTCCTACCTCTTTTTTGTTTTCCATATTAACAAAGTATACTATAAAATATGAACACGGATAAAATATCAAACTTAAATCTGTTTGTAAAATGTTGTGGTTATGTTAATTTCACGGACACGGATTACGGATACCTCGAACCACAGATCAAGAAATGACACTTGGACTTGATCGCGCCTCGCCATTATTCCATGGCTACAAATTGGCCACAATGATTTGGGATCGAGGGGGATTATCCCTCTTTATACTGCCTCATCTCGTTTAGGTCTGGACAGCCTTCGTAGATGGGCCCCATCCGGCGTCTACCCCGACCGCAAATGCGGCCGGTGTAGGCGCTTTGTGGGACCTCCTTTTGTCCTGGCATTCTCGAGCGAGCAGCCGAACTGAGCGGTGGTGTTTATTGTGAAGTGAAGTGCATTGCAACGAGCAAGATCTACCTGCCTTTATTAAGGCTACCTGGAAAGTATCCTTTTCTTTCCTCTTAACCACCGACCTAATCCCCGGCTCAAGCATAGAGGCCGTCGGCATCTTTGTTACAGGTATCTGTGCCGGGGTTATGCCCAGGTAAGTTTTTACTTTATTTATCAGTTATTTGCATTATTTTTGAATACATTTCTTTAAAATTGCGACCCCCGACAAACAATATACCAGACAGAC